TCACAATTCACCCCTCTACTCTTATCCCTTCAACTTCAGGCTTATCCTGCTGCAACTAAGCAGTAACACTCATTCTTTATGATTTTGATATGGTAGATAAATGCTTTTCCATCTCCAAAGTAGTTATTAAGAGACTCCCGTGTCCCAAAAAGGTTATTAAAAATTAGAATATGTTTCCCTTTCGTACTTTTTGGTCAGTTCTGCACTATTCAAAATTCATCTTTCTCTTAGTTAACAGAGATAATATTTAGCAGTGCGTTCTCATGAAGCCAAAGCCTTTCTTTCCTTCTCAGGGTGAAACATGGGTTGGCCAACAATGGCTCAGGGACTAAATCTAGCCTGTGGCCTGTTTTTGTATAGCTTTATTGGAACACAATACCCATTTGTTTACATAGTGTTTAGTACTAACTTTTTATCACAACATCAGAGTTAAGTCAGAGCCCATAAAGCCAAAAATACTATCTGGCCCTCTTCAGAGAAAGTTTGCTAACTCCTGGCATATAATATTGATTTATATTTTTGTATATTTTGTATATTTGTAAATAAACTTTTATTTGAGGCCCTGTATTTATATATACTAACAGCGTCACTCAAACACTTGACTGTTCCAACTGATACACATTTTATATGAGCTTCCTATACTTCACAGCAGTGAAAATCCACACTGGTGAAAATTTGGCTTTATTTTTTTTCTGATGGCTTCTTTGAAAAGTAGAACATTCTTACTCCTGTTATTTTTATAATTTTTAGAGAGCTATCCTCAAATTAGAGATTTGGTTTATTTTTAAATAAACTTAGAAATGGGCTTAAGATCTATAGAAAGGGCTGCCTTTCTTTTCTTTCTTTTTTTTAAATGATCATCCATCCTTCTAGAAAAATTTGTCTTTCAAATGCAAGGTTGCAGTGTTGGTAGATCACTGATCCATTTACTTTCATTTTAACTTAACCTAAATGTTTCTTGCAGACTAAAAGAGAAGAAGAACACAAGCTCATCAAGTCAAAGGTTGTGAATGATGAGGAAGTGGTTCGCGTTCCATTAGCGTTTGCCATGGTTAAACTAATGCAGTCCCTTCCACAAGAAGTTATGGAAGCTAATCTGCCAAGGTGTGTTTTGTAACAAATTAGAAGTTTAGTGAAACTCAAAAATTGCTTCTTTTCTTCCTTGTTTTTGAACCTCTTTTGTCAGGAAGAGGAAAAGTACTGTCATAACTTGCTGTGGTTTAGAGTGTTAACAGGGAAATTTGAGTTATGAGTAATTAAGAGACAAAAGGATATGTATATGTTTAATTGCTTCGTTTATTTGATTAATCATTTTTCAACTTCTCATTTTCTAGTATTTTGCTGAAAGTGTGTGCCCTACTCAAGAACAGAGCCCAAGAAATCAGAGACATTGCACGCAGCACTCTTGCGAAGATAATAGAGGATCTTGGTGTGCACTTCCTCCAATATGTTTTAAAAGAATTACAGACTACCCTTGTCCGTGGATACCAGGTAAATTGCATCTTGTGCTTTATATTCAAGTTCTGTTGGAGTTCAAATATTTGCAACTTGAACACTGCAAGTTATGGAACTTCGGGCCTGTCTTTAATCAATTTGATCCACTGAGACACTGAGCAGTAATATTCAAAAGTTTCTAATTAGTATTAAGGAAATCTGTTATTTGAATAGTTCCTATATCTGATTTTTAAAAGATCCTTGTAGGCTTGGGTTACATGACCTATCTTTTTCTCTCAAATTACTTCATATCAAGCTTTATATTCTCTGAGTTCTTAATATAATTATTTTTGAATGTGTATTGACTGTGTTATCACTGGTATGAATAATAAAGAACATACACATTTGTTTAAGAGTTGGAATATAAAATGTAAGTTATAAAATAAGGAGCGGGGTGCGGTGGCTTTATGCCTGTACACCCAGCACTTTGGGAGGCCAAGGCAGGGAGATGACTTTAGGCCAGGAGTTCAAGACCAGCCTGGTTAACATAGTGAGACCTCTTCCCTACAAAAACCAATAATAAAAATAACCAAGCTTGATGGCACATGTCTGTGGTCCCAGCTACTCAGGGAGCTGAGGTGGGAGGATTGCTTGAGCCTGGAAGGCCAAGGCTGCAGTGAGCTGTGATTGTGCCACAGAACTCCAGCCTGGGCTACAGAGTGAAATCCTGTCTCAAAAAAATAAAATAAGAGCACCAAGTGGAATACGCAGCAGTCCGAGTGGTTATGTGGTATCTAGCCCCTTGCTGCTCCAACCATGGCACCTGGACAGACAGTATTTGCAGCATCTGGGGCTTGTGAAAAATACAGGATTTAAAGGTCCTACACCTGACCTACAGAAACTGCATTTTCATATGATCCCTGGGTGATTTGAAGTTTGAGGAACGCTGTAGCTTGTTCTTTTCAAGTAAGCAGCCATGTTACTTGTTGGGTTGGGGATGAAGAATGATGCTTGAAGAAAACAATTTTGGTACCATCTATATGATTAAGACTCCTGGTAGTTAGCTTTACCTTGTACATCCTAGTTTGTTGATGGGTAAGGTTCCTAGTCTATAGACTGTAAATCTAACACACTAAGAAATGTCATATTCATTTTGACTATCTTTCTTTGTATAGATTTTTAGTAGTTGCTCTATAGATTACCATATATTAACTTAACTTTCAAGAGTCTACTGAGAATCAGTGTTTTACCAATTCAAGTGGAAT